CTGAGGCAGGACGGTTTGTCAGCAGGATGCACGACTGTTGTATGTGCAGTGTAAAATCACAACCACAGGTCACTGTCCTTTGGGGATACGGTGAAGAGTTGGGGGCACTGGCACATTTTATGGGTGATGTCCCAGTTCTTTGCTGTTTGCCTGCTGCTCCTGTGTACCCCCGCCTTTGTTCCTTTGCCCGCTGATTTTGGAGGATCAGGGGGTCATGTATCCACGTATTTCTGTGCCCCAGACGGTCAGGAAAGTTTGTGGTGGAAAAACCCGTTCAGTGTTGTTTTGCATTGCTGCGGAAGGAGGAGACTGTTGTCAGCCGCCCGGGGTCCGAGCGCGTCACCCGCCAGGACGCCATCTCCCAGGTAGAGTCCAGTGTCTGTCGGGCATCACTCACTTGGATTATCGTAAGAGGTCAGGAAAAAACTCTACTACTGTGTGTTTTCAGACACTATTCAACAATATTATAATATGGGAAAATCAGATTACTGACCTTTCTGTAGAATTAACACTGTGTGCATGTGAAGTCTTTTAATTTAGTGGGTCATTTTTACCAGGTTCTTTAGCATTGTGTCTTCGTCATTTGCCGGTCGTCACCTGAAGGTCAGTTAAGGGCAGGCGGTAAAGGTGGGGTCCATTGTGGGCTGACGGTCACTGGGTGTGGTGACCTTGCCTCGATGCAGGCCCGACACCAAATCGGCACAAATGCCCCGAGTCCCTGCGCTGTGTCCTAAGGGGAAATATGTGGATTTTAGAAGGAATTTGAAGTTTTTCCTGTTTTAACAAAAACGGTTCGTGTTTAGAGTTCTCAAGGCGAAGGAGTGGGTACGCGGAGGAAGCGAAGTCCGCTCCCGTTGCCAGATCCCTCACGTCGCTCACCAGTGTTTGCCCATCCCCTCCCTTTACTGTACACATCGAAATGGCTCCTTCATCAAAAATAAATATAGCTGTTTTATGAAATGGAGCGGTAACCGTGAGAGTGGTTGTTGGGAGGGAGGGCTGGTAAAGGGAATGTGTTCCTGGTTAAAAAAAAAGGTAAAACATTTGGAGTCACAGACGTTTCGGTGCGCGGCATATGAGCGGCTCGCTCCATCTGTCCCCAGTATTCGTCGTGCTCATCCTTCCGCGAGGAGCTCCTAGGAAGGAAACGGTCCTCTCTGATGCGGTGGGTACTTCGGCATCTGTCATGGTTCTCTCAGGTGCCCCTTCCGTAGCCCTGACCGCTCCATCGGTCAGACTCCCATCTTTTCCAGACTCAGCAGTGCGTTCTCAGGAGCATGGAATTTGAGGTTTTTAAATTTCAAGTGTGTTTGATTGCACAGGGAAATGGCTTGGGGTATATGACATTTTTACAGGTTTCTTTTTTAGTTTCACTATAATCGTTATATATTCTTGTTCGATGTGCTCAGTGGGTATTCCAGGCTGTTCTGACTCGATGTCTTGGTTTAGCTGATGGCTGGCGCTTGCGGGAACCGACTCTGCGGGGCCTGGTGTAACCGCGTGGTGTTGTGCCGGGTTCGTTTGCTCGTAGCCTTGGTTTGAAAGCAGCTAATCTGGGCTCAGTAAGTACGTGGGTGAGCGAAGTGTGTCATAACTACCTGGGGTATAACTTTTTAAAGGGCTCCAATTTTCACGAATTTAAATTTTTCTTAAAAGCTTATTAAGTGTGAATACGTTTGTTCAAAACTAGCACGCGCTTTGGAAGCGCGGTTTACCAGCCGACGGAGAAGAAGCTCTCAGGGGTAGAGGTGGGACTGGGGGCCCACACGGGCCTGACCCTGACAAAATGCAGCACCGGGGCCCCCAAGCTCCCTGGGTAGCTGTCACTTCAGTACCTGGAATTGGCTTCGATGTTTGTATTGTATGCTTTTGAGTTTCAGCGACAGACCATGGCGCGTGAAGCTATTCACAGAGCGACCTCCCGCGTGCCAGCGAGGGCCAGGCAACCGGACCGCCTGTGAACAGGGCCGGGGAAGGGTTCTCTGGACTCTGTCCGTGCTTCGCTCCCCTGCGGCCCTCGTTTCCTCCCACCGCAGTGTTCCCTTCTCCCTGGGTGACGTCCCTGCAGCTCCCGCTCTTGAAGACCCTGTGCGGACGGACACGCACGCACGTCCTCTGACCGCCCGGCCCCAGGTGGCCCCCCAAGGCCTTAAGCAGTTTTCCTGTCACACGGCTCGTGTGACCTCTAGCGCTTCCTCTCTGTCCTCTTTTCCGTTGTCCTCTACGGTGCATGTTTTCATGTCTCCCCTTTCTGATGAGCCCCGGTCCCGCGTCTTCCACTCCGTGTCCTCCAGAACCCCAGCGTAGCGCCTGTATCCCAGAGGCCCTCTCTACATCTCTGTCATTTCGATAGTGAATGAATTACAAAATTTTGACTCTGAGGGGCTTTGGTCAGTTTGCCACATTTTCTTGACATGTTGTATATTTGTTTCTTTGAGCCACTGGCAACTTCTAAGAGATACTTAAAGCATAGTTTGGTTTTTCATTGATTATTTCCAGGGTAAAAGCAGATCTGTTTATAAGTGTGTTTGATGGTTGTAATCAGTGCCGTAGAATATCGAGGTTGTCGTATGAAAAGCAGCCAACTTAGTTTGTTGGCTGAATTAGATCAAACATAGTTCGGTTTAAAGGTAGGCTCTTTAAATGGGAATTTCTTTTAAATGGGTTTTCCTGGCAGAATGTAGTGTTAAGCTCATTAATTCTCAAGTTGAAATGTCTTCACTAAAATATGGTTTTCTTTTGCACAGAACAAGCTTTTAATGTCAAAACTACATTCAGAGGTTGGCTGAAAACTGCAAGTGCCGTTGCCAGGCTCCCACACTGCAGGCCCAGAAATCCCTTGCGAAGGGAAGAGGGGGTGTGGGAAGGTGGGAGGAAGCTGGCTCCCCAGAAGGCGGCTGCTCTGGGGGCAAACGAGCAAGGCCCCAGTCTCGTTTTTATTATCGAAACAATTGCTAGGTTGAATAAAAAGCAAATGATTGCGGTAGTTATTTCTCTTACAAAAGTAATTTTTCCTTTTAAGATGAGACATCAAAGAACAGTGCTTCCTCTCTGAAGTGTATTTGTTCGCCCTTGATTTTTGAGTTCGATAAACGTTGAGTGTGATTAGGAAACGACTTGATAATATTGCAGATAGTTTGCAAAAAAAGTAAGACATCTGAGAGTCACTGCCGCTCTCCTGCTGCGGTGCTTTGAAGCCGGCAGGGACCGAGGCCTGGGTTTCTTCCTCAGCCCCCCGCAGGGGTGGCTCCGCGCAGAGGTGAACTCGGAAGGCCTGCGGCTGTGGCACCCACACAGAGCTTGAAAAGGCGGGAGGCTTCACCTAAACGTCCAGATTGCCGGCTTCTCCCGGAAACCCAGAAGCTGGGACTCTCTGGGCCTGCCTCCCCTGGGAGCGACAGTGCTCGAAGCCGGGCGGGGGCCCCGCTGGGCCGCACACCTGTCCTGCCACCTTGGTCCTAGAGCGTCGGGCAAACCTAAAATTTGTATACGTTTTCATGCATTAGATGTCACAGCGTCATAGTTCATCAGTTCTGTGCAAAAGCACTGCTAGTTTACACGTGCGCTTTTCCCCCCAAACTTACCTTTTCATAATAATTTTTTTCCCAACTTTTTATGTTGAAAAATTTTCGTTTTTAAAAAAGTGATAGAGTGAACACCCGGATACATTTCACCTAGATAAATGAACACGATGCTTTATCTCTTTCTGTTATTATCATAGCACTTTGCCCTACGTACCCAAACGTCATTGCCTGGGAAGACTGTCCTAGAGAGCTGGCCTCGCTACCGCACCCAAGAACTTTCACGCCCACAGAGTAGTAGTGTTTAATAGTAGTGCACGGTCACGCTTCCATAAGCAGTCATTATTTCTATTTTTATTTCAGTCCAAGAGCCAGTGCAGCCTTGCATCTGATAGCCCTCTCTCTAGTTGCCTTTATTCTAGACAGTTGTCTGCTTTTTTGGTTCATCTTTCAAAACACTGACCTTTTTTTTTTTTTTTTTTTTTTTTGTGGGCCTTTTTGAGAGTCCAAGCTGGCTGTTTTGTAGAATGTCCCGTAATTCGGATCTGTGTGATCGTTTCGTCATGATTAGCTTCTGGTTCACCGTTTTTGTTGTGAGAGTTGCATGGGCTGTGCCTTGTTCGCCTCACTTTAGGTGGTCGGTTGCCCTAAATTCAGCCATGTGTCCCTTTGTACCTGTCCCTTTGTTCCTCTGTAATATGCAGCATGGTAATTGGAGACTGTGAGGTCTCTTGCAGCGACCACCCCTCAGTAGCATCCATTGGTGATCCCCGTGGGAATCGGTGGTTGCAGGATGGCGATTTTCTAATTCTCTTCCTTCTTGAGGTTATTAGCTGGCATTTTTCTGTAAAGTTTCCTTTCCTGCCCACTTTGCTTGAGTATCTATCACTACATGGTTTATAATACTTTACCGTCTTTTTTTCTTTCTGGTGCTCAAATTATCCCAGAATTGGCGAGTAGAACCCCATTCGGGCTGCTTCCTGTGTCCCTTTGACGAGTCCCTGTCAGTCATTTGACACTTTCCTCACTTTCTGTTAACAAACGCTTCAGGCTCACTTTGACCTTTCTTTGCTCCAGACTTGTAATCAGCCATTTCTCCAAGAGGGTTCCGTTTTAGTAGGGAATGGTGTTTAGAAACCAACGTCTGGATGCCAAGTTTGCTCATCACTACTGAGGTGTCATTGCTGTAGGTCCTTGTTATGGATAGAGCTAGATCACGTATTAATGATTTTAGTAAAATCGGAATGCTGCTGTTTTTCCAGAGGCTGATTTTCATAGGGATTACGTTGAACCTCTGTAGCCTCACGGGGAGAACTGGTGTCTCTGTTACGTCTGGTCCTTGAACGTCAAACGTCTTTTTAGTGAAAGCTTAAGACGTGAAGATGAAGATAGCTGTATGTCTCGTTAAGAGACGATTTCATTCCACGGAAAACATCAGTGACAAACTGTCAATTCCTCTTTTCAAACACGTACCCATAGGCCTATGAGAGGAGATTTCCGACGTGTCCTCTGATTCCGATGTTTGTGGACAGCGACACCGTGAATGAATTCAGGAGTGAAGACGGGGCGATCCACGTTATAGAAAGGCGCTGCAAACTGGATATAGACGCACCTCGACTGCTGAAAAAGGTGATCGAGGGACCCCTGAGAAAGCAGCCCCCCGAAACCGAAACGAATGTGCTTATGGCTTCTTTCTCAATTGGGCATTATTAATACATCTTTTTTCTCTTTATTCCTTTTTTAAAGATTGCAGGAGTCGATTATGTTTATTTTGTCCAGAAAAACTCACTGAATTCTCGGGAGCGTACTCTGCACATCGAGGCCCACAACGAAACGTTCTCTAACCGGGTCATCATCAATGAGCACTGCTGCTACACCGTGAGTAGCCCGCGACCCAGGGGACCGAGAGCGTGCTGGCAGGTGGCTTCCAGGAGTCGTTTGGCCATCGCCTGAAGCAGTGCAGTTCTTTGTCTTGGAGGGCAGTTCTTCATCAGATACTGTCTCTCGTTTCCGGTAGAGCAGCAGGTAGCCGGTGCAGTTTACGCAGAGTAGATGACACTGCGGTCGCCGTTAAGGTAGCCAGGTGATGCCCCAGCTTTGGGTTTTAATATTGCTTTCCCAGGCCACTTCTTTTCTGGCCCCACTGTGGCACCTTAGAGACACACACTGGGGGACCCGAGAGGCTGTGTACCGTCTCCGGGCGCCTACCCCGCTGTTTCGGGAACTTCTCTTACCAGATTGTTACAATCACCTCCCGGGTCTCCGCCTGAACCCTCACCCTCCTGCAGTCTGAACCCTCACCCTCCTGCAGTCTGTAACGCCCCCTCCAGAGTGAGCCATTGACGGTCCCTCAGCTCGGGCCTCGCTGTCTCCAGGCTCAGAACTCCGCAGCGTGTGGGCATTTCGCTCAGAAGAAGTCACACCTCTGCTGTCCCGCTCGCCTTGCTGTTGCCGATCGGTCGGCGAGCCTCCCCTCCGGGCCTCCGCGTGGGCGCCCCCTCTGCAGGGACACTGTGCCCCCAGGCCTCCCCCTGCCCCCCCTTCAGTCTTGGCTCAGGCTCCGTCCTCGGTGCCCCGGCCGTGAACGCCCCGCGTGGTCCTGCAGCCCGCCCTCCCACAGTACTTTTAGCCGCGCTCCATCTTTCCTATTTTCCGCGGCGCTTACCTGCCAGCAGCCGTGTAATTTCTTACCTGTGATACTTCCGGCTCATTGGCCCCCGCCGCTTCGTTAGTGACGGAAAGCACCGTTCAGTAAACAAGGAGCGTGCTGAACCAGCCAGGAGCGAAAACGAGGCTCTCCTTGGAGCAGTCATTTTTAAAATAGTTTGGTCTTTTCATGGTTTTGAACCTCTCTGTAATTTTTCCTCTGCTCCTTTCATGACAATAACGTCATTAGTAAAATAAGTGTTTTCCTCTGGTTACTGGCTCGCCAAGGAGCGAACACGTGATCCTCTCAGTTGTCGGTGTGGTTAATGGGAATGCTTTCTCCTTTAACCCAGGTTCACCCTGAAAATGAAGATTGGACCTGTTTTGAACAGTCTGCAAGTTTAGATATCAAATCTTTCTTTGGTTTTGAAAGTACAGTGGAAAAAATTGCAATGAAACAATACACCAGCAACATTAAAAAAGTGAGTCAGTCCGTCTTGGGACTTTTGGTCGGGGGGGCAGGCGCCCGGAGACGGCTGGAGCGTGGTCTTTCCGGGGGGCTGGCAGTGGGCCATCGGGGGTGTCGGCTGTTTCTGGAAGAAGAAGCACTCGGATGTCCCCGCGGGCCGCACGTCCCAGGGCGCAGGAGGATTAGATGGGAGCCACGTGCCGGTTCCAGTACGGCACAGGCCACGGCGTCCTGTGTGCGGACCTGCGGGGAAGGCGGAAGTGGGGGTGGGTAGGAGCCCTGTGCTCACAGCACCCAGCTGCCACCGCAGGCTGTGCGGGAGGGGGTCCTGCTCACGGCAGGGGCAGTGGTCCCCAGGCCTCGGGTCGTTTGCTTCATCTCCAGGGGAGAATTTCCCTTCTCGTTTTTACGCTGCTGCTCGTGACTGTGGAAGTTTGGTTTTGAAATGTGTCAGTCTGGGAGCGAGTGCTTTTTGAAGGCTCGTTTTATTTTTAGGGCTTTGGAAAAAATTTCCAAATTTGCAAGTATGGTACATCATGCTTTTAATTAGTCATAAAAAATTCCATCTTCTTAGATCTTACTTCCTAGACTTCTGGAGAAGAGGAAGTGAAATTATGGAAACAAACACAAAGGCTTTTGTCTTTTCTTTTTCTTATTTATTCTATGGCCGTTGAGGTTTTATTCGTGTTTTAAAAACCTGTGAGGGATGAATAACTCAAAATTCGAATATATACTAACCTTAAAACGGGTTTTGTTTTAAAGGGAAAAGAAATAATCGAATACTACCTTCGCCAGTTAGAAGAAGAAGGCATAACATTCGTGCCTCGCTGGACTCCGCCCTCCATCACGCCCTCCTCAGAGACCTCCGTGTCGTGCGGGAAGCAGGCGGCGGCCTTGGCTGTCGCGGTCCCAGAGGCTGCGCTGAAGGAGGGGCCGAGCAGCGAGGCCCTCGGCAACACGAGCGGGGCCCCCGAGCCCGTGGCGACCACCCCCGACGGTAGGTTCGCTCTGAGAGCAAGACGGGATCGTATGGAAAGAGAACGTGGACCCCGGTGCTGTCCGCTTCCCCTCGCTTACATAGCACGTTCACTTTATTTTTCCTTACACTGAAGAAACTTAGAATTGTTTTTTTAATGGGCAGAAAGGGTTCTATCAAGTTATGAAACCAGGAAGTGTTTTTTATTTATTTTAGTAGACGATATCTTTAGTGAACGTAAGGTAGCAACTAACCCTTTTAACAAACAATTACATCATCACGTTTCATGCTTACCATGTGCCAGGCGCTATTGTAAGCTCTTTGTGACTATTTACTTATCTCCTGATGGTTGCTTTTAGGTAGGAAATGCTTATTATCCTCATTTTTACATGAGTTAACTGAAGCACAAAGAGACTCAGTAACTTGCACAGAATCACACAGCCATTAGTGGCAGGGCTGGGGTTAGCCCAGCGGCTGGCTCCAGAGTCTGCATTTAGCCACTGGGCTGTGCTGCCTTTGACGTGTGTTAAACACACGTGCGCACACGCAAACCACACAACTTTTGTGTTTCTCAGAGTGATGCCCATTGTAAAATAAGAAAACACAAGAAAATTCTACCAGTCGAGAGGCTTAAACTACAGGTATTTTGCTTTCCCCACATTCTTCTCGGTGGCTAAGCTGTCATTTGTTAGCTTTCAACAGGTGGCAGATATCTTTATTGGTTTGGGGACATGTTCTGTTTTTTCACTTTGTGAATTTTTCTGTGTTCTACTTAATTCGAGATCTCACTCTTCCAGTTTGTTACCTTATCATGAAACAGATTTCTTGTATTCTTGAACACAGCTCTGTTCAAAGTAGGTTGGATTCATTTTGTTTGTTTGTTTTTATTTTTAATATGTCAACCCTCTTTATATAACTTTGAATTAAAAGTCCTTAAGTGTCTGTTACAGGCCTCATTCCATCGTGAACAGTATGAGATTTTACATGCAGAGGTGACCTGGTCACCGGGGTATAATTGACCCAGCAAGCTCGCCTGTGGCTCGGTCAGCAGCTTGACGTTAAAGACCACCCTTGAGGTTCTCCAGGGTGGCCTGCCTCAGTCTGCTGTCCCTCCGTTGTCACTGAGGTCCAGGGCTCTGGGACCGTACTTCATCTTCACTGATAGGACCTTGGAATACTTCAGGTTCTAGTGTTCTTTGTTGTAAGTGGTTTCGTGTCATTTCTATTGCAGACAAACTGGACGCAGACTACATTAAGCGGTACCTGGGTGACTTGACTCCGCTACAGGAGAGCTGCCTGATCCGGCTTCGCCAGTGGCTCCAGGAGACCCACAAGGGCAAGGTGAGACTCGGCACCCTGTCTGTGACACGCGTCTTACTTCCTGAGAGTGCCCAAGCGCCATAGCTGGGCCGTCCCTTCCCATAAAAGCCATCGAACCCACGTCCGTGTGTGCGGCACCCGAGCCCCTCGTGGTGGTTGCGATGCTCTCCTGTGATCAGCTGTGTCGTCCTGGGTTTCACAGACCGGCCTCGCTGCAAAACGTGCCTGGAAGGTTCAGAAGGTGCACAGGTTATTCAGAGACTAGAAATGTTTGAGCTTTGGTTTTGGGTTTTCGGTGAGGTTTTAGCCTCATAAGGAATCAGATTTTTGTAATGAGCTTCATACTAATGGGGGGCTGGTAGTGAGCAGAGACAGGTTTGTGCGTCTGGCCAGTTGCTGGCATTGCTCAGTAAAGGGGAGCCAGGCATTCCATGCACCCAGCCTCCTCCCCAGTCCTGTCAGCCTCGGTGACTGGAGCCCAGATAGCTGAGCCTTAGTGTCACGTCCTGAGAATGTAGACACCGTGACAGTAGCTGCCATTCGTTGTGCTCCGACCATGTGCTAGACACTCTTAAGATCCGCAGCAAATCTCCCTAACAGCCCTGTGAGGTGGGTACGACTTTTATCACCCGTTACACATATGAGGAAACCAAGGCCCAGAGACGTTAAGTAACTTGCCCGAGGTCTTAGGCTAGTGAGCGGTGGGGCCAGGGTCTGAGGCCAGGCCATTCGATTCCTGAACCCACGTTCTGAATCACTTCCGGATCGCAGTGGTCCTCTCTCCGTGAAGACGATGCTGTCGCAGTCCTTTGGGCTGTTTGCCCAGGAGTGGGCAGTTAGGAGGCTCTGGCTGCGCTCAGGACTCGTGTCCCGTGGCCCAGTGGTGTGCGTTAGCGTGTGGCGTGGAGGGAGACGGGGCGTGCAGTGACACTCAGGCACGGTCTTGACCTTGATTCTCAAAGAAGCCAACATACTGATGCCAGTAGTGGAACCTAGAGACGGTTTCTGTGTTGGGGACACCACCACCACTACCAAAACCAACATTTTTTTTAGCTTTTTATGTGTTATGTGTAGAGAGAGAAAAAACTGCACAGATCGTAATTCATAGATCAGCTCAGTGAACTTTGAAGCATTTTATGTTTAAGAAATTATTTGTGCCATTGCTGTACTTGGCTAAAACCGAAATGGAATACTGTAAAGATTATTCAAACTAATGCTGATTTTCTAAAGCACGAGGGAAGGCTAATTTTAAATAGTGCAGTAACGCAGCCCACTCTTGATGAAAAATGAGGGTTTTAGAGTCTTATTCCCTTGGTAACTTGGTTTTTTCCCTTAGCAACTTTTAACATTGCTTAGAAACGTCTTTCTCTCAATAGATCCCAAAAGATGAGCATATTCTTCGGTTCTTGCGTGCCCGGGACTTCAACATTGACAAAGCCAGAGAGACCATGTGCCAGTCTTTGACGTGGCGAAAGCAGCACCAGGTGGACTACATCCTCGATACCTGGACCCCTCCCCAGGTCCTTCAGGACTACTACGCGGGGGGCTGGCACCATCACGACAAAGGTGAGCGCGGGCTTGGCATTCGGGGTGTGCTTAGCGACCTCCTTCCGCAGAACTCGGCGGGCCCTTGAGTGCACCGATCCTGCCCTCTCCCAACCCGAACAAACTGGTGCCCGTTCTGTCATGCAGGGGCCACATCCCGACACCGCCCCCCACCCCGAAGCCCCCCCATGGAGGGCTGAGACTGTCGGCCGCTTCCTAGTGGCTCACGTTGCCCGTGCGAGTTACTAAAGCTCCTTTCTGAGTTAAGTGGAGTGTTCGTGACTTGCTCAGAAAACCAAAACCTGGAAGGCCGTTGTTTTCAAGAGCACAGTGCTAGTAAAGGAACTTCCCAGTGACTAAGCTCTTGTGTTATCACTGAAAACATGTGGCCAGCGTTCTTCACCGGAGCAGTGCAGCGCTTCGGCTCTGTTTTGGGAGTAGGCAAAACACCAGCCAGGGACAGAACACACCCAAAACAGAGACTGATTTGCAAGCAAGTCACTTGGATGGATTTACACCCCATGCCTCGCAGGAGAGCCTGCATCGTCACAGGCATGCTCACTGCTTCCTGACTCAGTGTGGGGGCGGACAGAATGGAGAGGCCACAGGGATCGCTCTGGAACCTTCTTTTTCACCTCCAAACAGGTCCTTTCAAAACTTAGCAGCTCTAAATAGTCCATTTTTCTGACTTAATCTTTTGTACTAATCCAGATTAATTTTGACTTTGTTAATTTTTACTGGAATTACGTATTTATTCCTCTTTCTGATCCTCGAAAGATTAAGTAGTTTGGTAGTAAGACATTTAAAAACGTATCTTAATAACATTGGGAAAGGCTTTATAAATCTCCTTTCAACAAGATTTGGAAGCGCGCACATGCGCGCACACACACCACCACGACCACCCCCACCCCCGTTTGCTTTAAGTAGAACAAATCTAGACCCAGATTCTCCCAAGAGGTGAAGTTCACCAGGCATTAAATTCAAGAAATTTGGGCCCCCGTGTCAGGATGACAAGCACTGACCCGCTGTGAACAACAGAAGACAGGCCTTGGTGTCTTTCGGGCGCGTGATCCGTCCTTGTGCTTTCTGCTGCTCTCCTGTGGCAGCGAGTGGCAGGAATCTAGGAACTGCTGACACAGTCTGGCCACCAACATCTTTATCCCTCTGTGTAGCTGGCTCGTGGTGACAGGGATTTACGTGGTGAGTTAGGTTCCTCTTGGTCTCTAGTTCTTCTAGGCTGTAAGGAAGTAGAGCCCGCGTGCTGGTTGGTGTGGATTTAAGATTTCTAGAAAGTCCTCGGTGCCCTTGGTCCTTAGGATGGGAATGGAGGAAATAGTGTAGTAGATAGTCAGAGGTCCTCCCGCTGTTGGAAGGCAGCCCCACTCAGTCCCCTGGTCATTTAAGTGAGGAGGCCAAGCCCAGCGACAGCCACGGCCAGTGCCCGCGGTCGGAGTCGGGCAGAGGCAGAGCTGGCTCCAGGACCCCGCTGAGCTGCTGTCAGTGGCCTTTGCTTTTTCCTTTGACAGGATTTTGGGGAAAAGGGTGGAGAGACTTGACACACACACACACACACACACACACACACACACGCACACCCAGCGCTGCTCCTGAGAGAGAGAGCGAGAGCTCGCAGTGGCCTGGGATGTGGGGAGCACATCCCTCAATGTGGGGTATGGGGTGCTGTCCTGGGCTTCATGGCAGGACGGGGGCTGGTAATACCTCCTCTCTCCTCTGTCCCTCCCGCAGATGGGCGGCCGCTCTACGTGCTCCGGCTGGGGCAGATGGACACCAAAGGCCTGGTGAGGGCCCTCGGGGAGGAGGCCCTGCTCAGATACGTAAGTGACGCGGCCGGACGCCGGCTCCGTTTGGGCCTCTGCGGCAGGATCGGGGTGTTGAATGTCCTGTCATAACAGGCGTGTGTTGCTTTTGTAATTAGAGAGGAAAATCTAGTGATATATTTTTAAAATTTCAAAAATGGGTACAAAAGTTATAAGAATGCTTTTCACGGTGAAGCATCAATAAAATCAGAGTAGCCACTAAGATGATTATGTGGGAGCTGATTCTGGTCATCTTTCGTCCTTCATTCCCGCACCGAATCGGTCCCCACTCTCCCACCCTGACTCGCCCTTGAGCTGTCTCTCCGCCAGACCTCTCCGCGTCCTCGTCCAGGCTCCTAGCGCTGACTGTCGGGATGGCTGTAAACGCCCCCCTCCCCGTCCCCCGACTCCAGGCTCAGCCCCACTGTGTGGTAGTTACAAGGAGAAGAGTGTGGCCCTTGTAACAAACAACTGGAAAAGGCACATCTATAATCCAGTTCCCCTCAGCGTCCACCATTGGCATTTTGTCGTGTCTTCTGTTAGTCCCACCACAGGGTGTGTGTTCATACGTGCGTGCATACATACCCGCATGACACGCAACGTGCACGCGAAGACGCGGATGGGCCACTTCCGAAGGGGAGGGGTCTGTTGTCCAGCCAGGGGCGGGGGCTCCCCTCAGCCGTACCTCCAGCCAGTTCTAACACCGCCCTTTCTCTTGGCTGGCGCATGTGGTGTCACAGATGTCCCCCACTCCATAGACTGTTCCAGGGACACTTGTTCTGAAGATAACTGTAGCAGGCCCCGCCCTCCGCACCCATCTGGTGCCCCCCCACCACACCCATCTGGTGCCCCCCCCCAACTGATTTTCCCTGGGGTCGCTGTCACCTGGCCACGGACGGCTCATTGTCTTTTGAGAGCAGAAGTTCTTTGTCGGGGATGCGTCGTGCGTCAGGAAACCTAGGTAGACGACGTTTCCGGTTGCCACGCGTGCCTGACATGCGCTGTGCCGGTGCTCCCCTCGCGCGACGCAGCGCTGGTGGCTTCTTTCACTCAGCAGAGTTTTACGGCCCTTTTACGCGCAGGTTCTGTCCATCAACGAAGAGGGGCTCAGACGGTGTGAAGAGAACACGAAGGTCTTTGGCCGGCCTATCAGGTGGGCGTGTGGCCTTGCTTCTCCTTCTGGCTTATTGCGCATACGTGGTCAGTATTTCTAGTTGATTTTTAGACCCAAAGCTGGTTTGAGTTTTAGATTTCAGAACAAAATCTAAATAGTTGACTGTTTCCAGTACGTGTTCTAAAAGGTAGAAAATAGATCAGCGTAACACGGTCAGCTGAGGGACAGCTGCTGGCTTTTGGTATTTCTAATCCCTGAGGCATTAGGGCAGTCTGAGTGGGTTGGCCTGTCTAGTTAGTCTGCATGGCCTTTGTGAGCCCAGAGTTGCAGGTTTTGATTTGTCTGGGTTTGGTTTTGTTTCGTTTTGTTTGGTGTGAGGAATATAAAAAAGTATTCTGTGTTCCTAAGTTATACTCTTAGTCATAGCAAACTGTTTGACGATGCGTAGTGATTCAGAGATTGACACTGCGAAGGGGCAGGTGGTTCACGAGGATGTAAGTCCCGTGGGGTAGGCATTTTGAGGGCTTTTGTTCACTGCTGTGTTCGCAGCTCCTGATGCGGTGCTTGACTCAAATACTTGTGGAGGATAGCTTACTGCAGTTCAGTCACACCGCCTGTTAAAGGGCCAGACACGTGCCCGTGCGGTCAGCAGTCGTGGCTCAGCCTGTCACATGCCTCACTGGCTGGATCGCTGAGCATGTTAGACCGGGGATTTTATTCACTCTCGGTTTGAGAGTCCAGGGTTGGTCCTACCACACCGACCCCACGTGCTCTATACAAGTAGATGTAAGTATAGTTCATAACACCGTCATTTTAAAAAGTGGTATATTTTTAGAAATGGATCTAAATGACTATTTTATAATACCGAAAAGAAAAAGACAGTTACAGACCCAGTCTGCTAGTTGTGCCATCTGTTGAGCGAACTTGTCTGCGCCATCTGCAGCTCGTGGACCTGCCTGGTGGACCTGGAGGGGCTGAACATGCGCCACCTGTGGAGGCCTGGCGTCAAGGCGCTGCTGCGGATCATCGAGGTGGTGGAGGCCAACTACCCCGAGACGCTGGGCCGCCTGCTGATCCTGCGCGCGCCCAGGGTCTTCCCTGTCCTCTGGACGCTGGTGCGTGTGCATGCTGCTCTGCAGTGATGGTTAGCCATGTGGAAGGCAGGCGTGCGTGCCTCCGTGTACGTGTGCCAGGCGTGCGTGCCTCCGTGTACGTGTGCCAGACGTGCGTGCCTCCGTGTACGTGTGCCTCTGAGGGCTCTAAGTCTTGACTAGATAGGGGAAAAAATTAACAGGGAAAGATAGAAAATTTCTCAACTTGTATAAGGGGAGAAAGAGTTCCTGGGTGTCCTAATGTCATGCACGTGGACTTTAGAAAGAAAGAGTTTAAAACTCGAATTCCCTTTTCCCACTCGTAATAGCACATTGTAATTTTAATTTTTGAAGATCAGACAGCCAAGCAGACACGACTACATGGTCCTTTTAAATTGCTTACAGGTCAGCCCGTTCATCGATGACAACACCAGAAGGAAGTTCCTGATTTATGCGGGGAACGACTACCAGGGCCCCGGGGGCCTGCTGGACTACATCGATAAAGAGGTCATCCCAGACTTCCTGGGCGGAGAGTGCATGGTACGGACTTCGGAGGCGGCCGCGTGCTGGCCGCTTACGGGGCGGGGAGGCGGGTGCTGGTTTGCACGGATGGTTTTCAGAACTTCCATGGCTGGCGTCTCTGATCCACCCGTCAGGAGACTGTCGGCAGCATGCACGTTTCTTCATCGTGACATACTCGTGAGCATTTGTTTCAGAATCTAATCTAATTGCATCTTGCTTTTATTCACTCAGCTTTGTGTGAATCAGATTTTCAAACTGTGTTGGAGGAGCTGTGCGTTTTTTAAAAACGCTATTAAAAAATCAAAATGATTCTCAAAAAAGTTTTCCCCTTGACAGTAAATCAGGATAAAGTTTTATAAACAGGTTGAATTCGGAGAACTAGTTCTCTCTTATGTAACTCGCAGTTTTTAATACACCGAGTTGTTGGAGTACCAGGCGGAGCCTCCCCTTCTACAGCCTGCGCTGCGGTGAGCGAATCGGAGAGTTTCAGTTCCCTCGGGGCCTTATAGCTTCTGGGGCTCAACTGCCTGACGAAGCCTGGCGAGGTCTGGTGACTCGCCGAAGGGAGCCATGCTATCATATGTCGAGTTCCTAGGAGAGAAAGGGTCCCTCCTCCCCTCACAGTAAATGAAGTTATCCTTTTCAAATGCGCACACGCTGGATTTGACTCGTGCATTTGGCTAACGAATTGGGCTTGTGGGGAAGTCTTCCTGGATGGGTAGAGGCATTTAAACAGCACTCGATTCGGCTCCGGGGTCATCGGGGCTGCTGGGAGGGGTCGCAGGTTATCACAGTGCAGCGCAGAGGAGCGAGTCAGTTGCAGGACCCCAGCGTTCCAAGTGCCTGTGAGGTTAACTCTGAGGTCAGATTTGTGGAAACCCACAGACGGCTTCTGTTACGTACGGGAACGGCCATGTGGTTACTCCTTCTAATGAGGACTAGGAGACTGACGCTGGAGCAGAGGGCCTGACTCACGGAGGACGGTGCCGGCATTTGCCACTGGCCACAGTGATGCACTCACCTCACGATGGGCGCGTCCTGGTGACTGGCCGAGGTCACCCCTCTCTGGCTGCTGTCCCATGCTGCTGGTCTTGAAGAGGCGGCGGTCTCTCAGCTTTCCTGCGGCTGGAGGGCTTTAAGCACGTCAGTCCAGTGTTTCTGACAGGACGTCGTTCCCGTGACGTGTCTCCAGTCATGCGGCACGGCCAGCTGAAGACTGGTGTGTCACTTCAGTGTGGCTGCCTCCCGCAGCTGACGGTCTAGGACGCGTTCGGATGTTACGACCTGCACCATTAAGTCATATGTCAAGGTCAAACAGGAAATTTATGAACTGTACAAATTCTAATTCAGCTTAGCCTGTTTCAAGCAAATGCAAAAGAAGCTCTCCTTTATCATTTTCTGGCTGGTGTTTTGGCCCGATCGCTTGACTTGAGGTGGACTCAAAGCTTTCAGCGTCGATGATGTATCTTAACCTTCATTGCACAGAGTAAAAACAGTGCCTGTAGTTGCTGAGGGTAAAATTCTTAACACGTTCTCCCTTTACAACACGATGTAAATGTCTGTAATTGTTACGTTACCTCGTACGTACTAGTGTGAATTCTGTGGGAGACCAGCTTCATTTGTTTAAAGCAAGACACACGTACGTGAGTGGTTTTTGAAAACTACTTTGCTAAGCACAGCAGAGGATTTGAGGGCGTTGCCAGTGTTTCCCACTTTCTGAGCAGCTTCCCGGAGTCGGCCACATCGGGGTGTGTGACGTTTGGTGTTCAGAGGGCGTGTGTCGGTGCCCGCCTCTCACCGGCGTGTTTGCCTTTCCAGTGCGAAGTGCCGGAGGGAGGGCTGGTCCCCAAATCGCTGTACAGGACCGCGGAGGAGCTGGAAAACGAAGACCTCAAGCTGTGGACGGAAACCATCTACCAGTCTGCCAGCGTCTTCAAAGGCGCCCCGCACGAGGTGAGGGGGAGGTGAGGGGGAGGTGAGGGGCGGTGCCCGGGTGGACGCGCCTGTCCCCCCACAGCCGTGCCCCGGGGCATCTTCCCAGATGAGTTCGCTTTAGGAGAGTCAGAGCTTCCGCTGGTCTTTGTCCTCAGGGTTTTGTTGGCGCCTGATCGTAGGTGAAATGTCTTTTTGCTGTCGCATTTTGGTGCGGAAACAAGTATTCCTGTGTTTTACGTACGCCGTGTTCTGTGACATCGTGCATGAGCTGCGATGTAAGGACTCACGCGTCCCCCTTCCCGGAGCTCCGGGGTGAGGTTCGTGGCTCAGAGCTGGCGGACAGGCATTTGGAGAGGCGGCCTGCGGCTCGGGCTCTTCCTGCCTCCTGCCGCAGCAGCTGCCCAGCTCGGTCACCTGCTGTTTGTCCTTGCCGCCGGGCCTCCCAGTACCATCTGCCCGTCACTGTTGCTCCGGCCCAAACAGGCCGTGGGTTCTGTGGGCGGTCTCCAGTTTGCACGACTCTGTCTTGCGGATTGTTTGTGTTTCTAACTTGGAGGCGGCTCGAGGAGGCAGAGTTCTCGTCTGTCGTTTCTTAGGTTACTGTCGCTCTTGTCCACGGTGAGACCTTACAGGCATGATCTGTTTCTTGTGGGTCACAGATACCGGTATCTGTGAAAACGGGTAGGCAGGTTTTCCGTATCAGAACAGTAAAAATTTCATTTCTGCTTTGGGGGTTAAGTAAAGCACAAATTGAGGACAGTGATGCTCCTCAAATGAAGCCTGAGTTATATGTCCCCATTGTGAATGCAGGAAATAAGGTCTCAGGAGAGGTCTGCCCCTGGGGAGCCGCTTTGCTGAAGAAAGAGAGGGGGCCGCGTCGCTAGTGCCAGCGCGGTTCTTACCGGACCCCACCCCCACCCCCCTGGCTTTCTTTAAGGAAATGCCGAGGTGCAGTCTGCTCTTTAAGGAAATGCCGAGGTGCAGGTGCTGGTCAAGCGCCAGACGTGGCAGCAGTGGAGGGGAGGGGAGAGCCGTGTGACAAAAGCAGAGCGCCACAGGCGCTGTGCCCCAGGCTCGCCAGGCGGGCCTGTGGCGGGAGCAGGGCCTCCGCTGAGGCGTTAGTGAATGCGTAACTTCCCCCAGCTGGTTCTAGCTCTCATCCTGCCCGCCGCGGTCTTCGAAACTGTAACTGTGATCAGTCTCCGCTGGGAAACTCCATGTGGGCACCGTGTAAAGTATAAATTTTAGATTGGCACCCAGTCCCTGGACCCTTCCCCTAACCCCGTGCCGCGTGGCTCCCCTCGCCCCACGCAGCCCACTGCCAGGGTCCCGTCTGAGCAGAGCTGCCTCGGCCCTTGTGCTCAGGCCCCTCCCCTCCGTGTGGTCTTTGTCTAGCTCCCACCTTCCTGTGCTCGCCAGCCTAGAGCATTCCATGGACCCACTTCTACACCATCTCGACTTATTTCTGTTTCGTCTTGTTAAGACGTTTTTACGGCCAGGCCCCAGTGTTTCTGCGTGCTGGCTGAAGGGCCTGTCATGGGGACCACAGGTGTGGCTAGCAAAGTGCGCAGAGCGGGGACCCCTGGCACGTAGCGGGGCCCGTCGGCTGAAAGAATGGGGAGAGTAAGACAGAGTCCTGGGCGGTCAGAGTGTGAATCTGGGGGAGGAGGTCTGCTGGTCCTGTACCCCCGCCGCAGCACACTGCTGGGCTGGAAGGTGCTGTGGGGGGACAGTGCTGCCATAGCGCATAGCCTGACTCAGTGACCATCTCCTTTTCCAGATTCTCATTCAGATTGTGGACGCCTCTTCGGTCATCACTTGGGACTTTGATGTGTGCAAAGGAGACATCGTCTTTAACATCTATCACTCTAAGAGATCGCCTCAGCCACCCAAAAAGGACTCCCTGGGGGCACACAGCATCACTTCCCCGGGGGGCAACAACGTGCAGCTCATCGACAGAGTGTGGCAGCTGGGCCGGGACTACAGCATGGTGGAGTCGCCCCTGATTTGCAGAGAAGGGGAGAGCGTGCAGGTAACACCGCACGCCCATCTCCACAGCTCGCCCGCGCTGTGCGGAGAGCAGTTAGGGGTCCGCTTTTAGGGGTGGTCACAGTGACTCAAGGGGCCAAGTGAGTCTTCGGAGAAAAAGCTCAAACCTGAGCAGTGGTGTCGGACACAGCCGATGACTGTCTGAGACCTACGGTGCATTGAGTTTTCTGTAGAAGTGTTTCCTAAAAGTGACATAGCAAGGAAGGAAGAGGCATCATGTGCACACACAGCTGGGATTCGTGAGACTTCCCCAACCACGTCCTTGACCATGTTCCGTTTGTTCCCTTCAGAGGAAGAGCGCCCTAAATAGAAGCGAGAGGAACACGCACTTGGGGGACTGTTCACTGTCATTAGTGAGCATTCTCATCTCTTTGAAAATGCTTCATCAGTTCACTTATAAAATTTGAGCCAGTTATTTTCAGTGCTTGTGCTCAGAATGTGGTTGTGTACTTCTGACCTTCACACATAACTTTACTGCCTTTATAGTTTTCAGAGATAAGCCAGCCAGTGTCTTGGTGGTCTTAGTAGCAGAGTAAAAAAGAACATTCTATTCAGTTTTAAAAATAATAAATATTTTAAGCTGTATCACAGTCTTTAATTCCAGAATTAATGGAGAAGGCAATTTTCACAGGTTAGCATTCAATATTAGGTGGTCATCTTTTCCACCTGACTATGCTGGTAAGATCATGGGAAGCGTGTCAGAGAGCATTGTCCGGTCCAGGTGACCTCTCGTGACCGACCCTAGGCCGAGTGGAGGTCTCCCCACCTCGAGCTCTTCCATCCTGGCCTTCCTTCCCATGAGGCTGCGAGTCCCTGGGGCGGACAGACTCAGTGTTACCCTCTGTGGCCTTCCCAGCCCTTAGCAGAGGCCTGGCCGCAGGACTGGCCCTCGAGTGGAGGCAGCATGGGACCAGCCCTGGTAACGAACCAAAGCAGTGTGTCCGTCCCTTGTCCAGATGCCAGTGCTCGCCGCCGCATCCGAGTGGACGCGGGACAGCTCCCTGGGCAGGGTCGCACCCATTGTAGGGTGGGGACTGGGAGGGAGGCCTACTCAGCCAGCTCTTCTCGCCTTGTTCCAGGGCTCACACGTGACACGGTGGCCGGGCTTCTACATCCTGCAGTGGAAGTTCCACAGCATGCCGGCGTGTGCGGCCACCCTGCCTCGAGTGGACGACGTGCTGGCCTCCCTGCAGGTCCCCTCCCATAAGTGCAAAGTGATGTACTACACCGAGGTGATCGGGTCGGAGGATTTCAGGTACGGCCCCCCCAGCACGGCTGGGCCACCGCCTGACCGCCGACTGGGTCGGGGGAGCGCAAGACGCGGGTGGGAGGCTTCGGGCCACTTATCATTGCCAGTTCACGATGGCATCTGCGTGTACGAGCGGCGGGGAACCACGTCCCTGAGGGCCCCTGCCCGCTGTTCTGGGCGGTAGGGGTGCTGCAGGGGTTGCAGAGTGGACAAGACTGGCCATGGGCGTGGGAGGCAGGGCAGTGTGACCGGGAGGCGGGGCAGGGCGAGTGGGAGGCGGAGCGGCGTGAAGCCCCGCCCTCATGCCCCACACTACTCCTGTGCCCTTTGCAGAGGTTCTATGACCAGCCTGGAGTCCAGCCACAGCGGGTTCTCCCAGCTGAGCGCCGCCACCACCTCCTCCAGCCAGTCTCACTCCAGCTCCATGATTTCCAGGTAGTGCTGCGACACCCGTGCCAGTGCGCGTGGGGACAGCCGTGCCTCCTCGGACAGCCCACCGCGCTCCGCCCACCCGGCAGCCACACTGCGCAGACTCCTCTCTTAGGTAGCAGGTAGCTCTCGAGATGGTAGGCGTGGTCACTGATCTCGAAACCGTCTCCACAGGTAGTTTTATCTCTCACAACACAGCCATAGGTTTTGTACACAGCGTGCACAGAATCAAGTCAGAGCACAAGGGCTCTCTCGAAAGAAAGTAGTTTCTATACCAATTACGAGTTTGACTTTGTCTCAAATGTCGATGCAAAAAAGTCTTTGAACAACCTCCACTAGTGGATGATGAATTCCTCCACCGTCCTTCAGAGGCGACCTGCGTGGAGCAGAAGCTGCCAGCTGTCCCTAAGGTGCAGTCCTCGCCTTCTCCCTGCTGGTAGTCGGCCTGGCCCATGAGTTAAGTGACAGTCGCTAGATACCTTTTCCTCCAAGCAGACACCGCTTAAGTTGGAAGGACTCAGGCAGCCGGTGCGAGCACCCCGCCCAGCTCCTGGGGGCCAGGTGGATCCACGGTTCTCGAGTGGGTGCTGGCAGGCCCGGGGGTCCTTGGGGACTCCCCTCAGCGCCACGAAGACACCGCCATCATTAAACACGGTTTTCTCTTTCCTCCTCTCCCAGTCTTTTCGGTGCTTCCTGTGCATGAGCTTGGGCAGCGGGTTTCCTCCTCTCTCCGTTCTGTTGCTCACGTTAGTTTGAACTCATCTAGGTTTATGTCCTCTGTCCCTCCATAGCTTAGTGGTGTCAGAGCCTAGGTGACCCTTCTGGTCACTAGAAGGGTGTTCTGCAGACAGAGCGAGTCACGTTTGCTATTCTGAAGCTGTCCAGTCAGTGTTCGCTTTAGCTAACTGCAGTCTCCTCGTGTGGCCACTTGAGAGCACGTGACCTGTAGGAGCCCTGCTTCTTTGCAAAAGGAAGTGAGTGGCCTTGTGGGTGTGTGTGCCTTTGGTGCTGGAGGGGCCCAGGCAATTGGAACCTTAGTTTAGGTGACAAGACTTCATAGGAGCAAATCAGAATATGAGATTGGTTTGCCTTTTACATTTTCTATTTGATTCCCGGTTGCAAAGCCTGGTCTGTCTTACACTGGCCCTCATTTTCTTGGCTTTTTATGGGAAAAGTGGGTTATTCGTGAATCCGTCTGGATATTGCATCAGATTAGTGTCCGTGATAAAGGTATGTGTGGTGGTGTGTGTGGCAGGGACTGTGCTTTTAAAGATAAGAGCCGAGGTCCCCGCAGCTGCCATCGGTGCATGTGACGAGCGCAGGAACCCCAGTCACATTGTTGCCAGTCTGCTGTGCAGGCACGAGGCGGGTGTCCGTGTGGTTGGAGAGCCATGGAGCACGTGTGTGCGCCCCCAGGGGAGGTGCTGGGAGGGCCCAGAAGGAACAGCACAGCCCTCCTGCCCCGTCAGTGACGCGAGGCTCCCCCCGCGCTGACGGCCTTCCTGGAACGCGGCTCTGCGTTTCCTCTGAAAAGATAAACCCATCGTTGGCACCTAAGGCTTGTCTCCAGAAAGCTCGGCCAGGTCAGGCGGTGCATCTGCTGCTTCCAGTCGGTGCTTCCCTTCCACGTTATAAGGACCTGAAGATGGTCCCTTCCTTCTCTCTCCCCCTCTCTTTCTCTGTGTCTCAGATGGCGATTTTGCTGACAGCTGCCAAGAAAGCGCTCCACTCAACAGGCCACACCAACCCAGGGATGTTTGTAGAACTATTTGAGTTGCAGCCATTCCCCCCCCCCAGTCCGAAGATCTGTTTCTTTTAAGTTGATTCAGAAGTGGCACTGTTTTATCCCCAGAGGTGGAAGCGTCTTTAGCGTTCAGAGCACACAACGGCACAGACGCCACAGGCTCACGCGCGGGGGCGCGTGCGTGACGGTGCAGCTCGCGCCGCGGCCTCTGCGTGCCCCGCGCTTCCTCAGACCCCGCTGTCACCTCTCCTGCCTTCAGCACTAACCATTCTTTTGGTTTCCTTCTCTTTGTGTCTTAATTCACTTTCCTCCCTAAATGCATTATTTACATATCGAATTCTGTAAATGTTTTGTAAACATATTACCTCACTCTTGGTAATACAATACTGATAGTCTTTAAAAGATTTTTTTATTGTTACCAATAATAAATGTGAACCGTTTTAAAGAAAACGTCCCTTTCTTGCTGCAGCGTCTCTCCCGGAGAGCCGGCGTGCTGGGAGACGGGGCACCGAAGGGCGGGCGGTTCCGAGCGCGCGCTGGCGCCAGAGGTTCGAGAGCCGTGTCGCTTGTGTGGCGCCGCCGGCCGGGAGGTGGACGGTCCTGCAGGAGGGTCGCGGCGGGGGCGGCCGGGACAGGGTGAAGCCCAGTGCTCGCGGTCACCGTGCCTCCAGGACGCGTGCTGCGGTTTCTCTCAAACTCCACAAGACAGAAGCACAGCGTGATGACCCGAGACGGTGTTTCTGCACTAACAAAACGGTTCCTTTAAGGTCAGGTGGCCTCAGAGAAACACAGTGGCCAGGTATGGACCTTCAGAGCCCTGGGCCACCTTGCCCCCAGCTCCCGGCCAGTCAGGTCTGCAGGGGTGGCGTGGGCCCGGAGGGCAGAGCAGCGCACAGCTCGCCTGCCACCTGCAGCCCTGGTGCCTCCTGCATCGGGAGCTGTGAGGTCACTCGCTTTCCTAGTCAGCGTCTGTCCTTGAGACCCAACCTGAGGGCCTGGCTGGGACACGGTGTGGGGAGCCAGCGATGCGCAAATGTGCATGCTCAATCCCACCTCAGCGGCACCAAAATGACCTGCGGATGACACGGCCGCCTTGTCACCGAAGGAAAGAGGGGCTTTTGCATGACCTGCCTTCACGCTCTCGTGTCTGCCTGTCAGCGAGCCAGGCCTGCTTTGACTCAGCCTTTGGTCTGGCATCAGGTTGCCACGGAGGCAGCAGCGGCAACCTCAGAAACGGGCTGGGGTTGTCTCCCCTATGTGCTGTGCGCCTCTCGACTCTCCCGGAGTGTGCGGTGAAGTGCAATGTCCTACACAGTGTTTGTAGGGCAACCTGCTCACGGTGGGCCACCCAGCCTCCAAGCTGTGTTTATCCGTAAGTACACGCTGAATGTCAACAGAGCCTAACCCTTGGGTGCCTTTCAGTTCTCGAGTCAGGCCAGGAGCAAACCAGTGGATCGGTTCTGTTGAAAAGCTGGGGCTTGGGAAAGCGGGGGATTCTGGGAAGATGGCTACGTAGTGGCATCCTCACATAGAAACAGAACAAGCAGATTGCAAAACCTCAAACCTATGGACAGCTGAACCGTGCGTGTAAAAATGGTTAAAATGGCAAACCTTGTTACATACATTCTACTACAGTAATAAAAAACCCTATGGACTTCACATACGACAAAACTAAGTGATAACATGGCTCCATAAACCCCGAAGAGAGGCACAAACCGCAGTAGTCACAGGACCAACAGATTGGTGGTGGGTCCGAGAGCAGGGCCCTGGCCGAGCCGGTAGGTACCCAGTGGGGAGCACAGTGGCCCATGCGAGCCCAGCAGGTGGGCCATGCCGGGCTGTGCTCCTTCCAGCAGCTGGCGAACCCCAAGGGCTGCTGTTGAGAAACTCCCCAAAGTGACTCGCCAGGGCGTCCTGCTAAAGGACCCCACACTGAGGAAAAAGCAGAGTGAGAGAAAAAGCAGAACAGGCACAGGAAAGAAGGGAGACCCAGGCCGAAGCAGGCGAGGGCAGTGGCCAGGAAAGGTCTGGAAGCAAATGGACTTGTGTTTTAAACACTTAACAAGCATCAGAAGAGTATCAGAGTCGAGTCCATACAAAGCCGAGAATAAGAAGCAGAATGACACCCTGCAGACAAGGAAAGCAAGCCAGAAAGATGTGCCCACAAAACACAGAAAGCAAGCCGTTTGTTAGTGAACTTTATCTAAAAGAAAAGCATGAATTAGGAAAAAAACCAGAAATGAGGTGACAAAGAATTAGAAGTGAATGAAAAAAGTCACTTCAGAAATTCAGATTGAATCGGAAGGAACACAAAGTAAAAAATACGTGTTTTAAGAGAAATGAAAGGTACAAAAGAAAATTGTACAAATCAGAAAAAGAATAGAGAAAATGAAGGTAAGCAAAGATCAAACATAATGGTAACATTGGAAGGACAAGTACCTGAGAATGACCAAAACCAAGAAATATTTTAGTAAAAGTGCTGGATTTTAAAGAGAAAGATCTTTGAGGCATCTAGGGGGCAAATCAGGCTTTTCAAAGGCTGAGCGTTATGCAGGGAGAAAATGGAATTATTCAGGTTTTCGAGGAAAGAAAGCGTGAGCCCGGAATTTGTATCCAGCAAACTGACTTTCCAGCGCAGTGGGCGCACATGGAGGTGTCAGTGAGCAACGGGCCAGGGAACAGGGCTGCTGCACCAGCCCTTCCCGGGGAATCTCAGGACCTGCTGCAGGTGCCAGCCTGGCCGGAGAGCCGGTCGGCCGAGCTCCGCCTGGCACGCCCCCCTGTCCTGACGGTCTGGGGGGAGCTGCCTCCCGGGAGCGAGACGCACCCTCTGGGAGGTGGAGCCCATTTCCCGCCCGCTCGGAGGTCCCCGGGCCGCGCAAGCGCCACCTCGTGGCCGCCGTGGGGAGGCGCATCGCCCCTCACCAGCGGGCGCCGGGCCCCTTCTGCTCTGCCCGGCAGTGGATTGGCCCTGGGCAGCTCTCCAGCCCTCGTGTCTGCAGAAGCCTCGCCTTGGAAGGGGCGTGGCATGCCGGTCCGTTCCGTTCTGTGTGTGCCCGGTCAGACATCATTCTGGGTCTCCGTGAGGGCGTCCTGGAGGAGATGGACGTTTAAATGAGGATTCCTCCCGCCTTCGAACCGGGGCGTTGATGCCTTTTTGCCTTCGGACTGGAACACTGGCTCATCTGGGTCTCCAACCTGCTGGCCTTCGGACTGGAATCACATCATCAGCCCTCCTGGGTCTCCAGCTGGCCAGGCAGCGGTCAGGACCCGTCAGCCTCCACGGTCACCTGCGCCAGTTCCTTACAATGAATCTCTCTACATATATGTCCCATTGCTTCTGTTTCTCTGGAGAACCCTCACCGAGGCAGGAAGTGTGCTCCCAGATCCAGGAACCGCGAAGCCTTTGACTTAGAAAAACCTAGTTAATCTGGAATTCTGTGTGTGTGTGTGTGTGTGTGTGTGTGTGTTCCCATCAGTAAGCTTATACTTCCAAAATTGAATAACATTATAGACTGTTAGACTGTTTAAGCGAGGAGAGGGGACGCTTTGAATGGTCTAGTCCCAACTCTTCCAGCTTGAGGAAGGTGAAGCCCAGAGAGGTGACCCCAGGGGATGAAATCGAAGTGTCACCTGACCGTCCCCCTGTTCAGGCACACGTGGGAATGGGAGGACAGAGCGCTTACTGAACTGAATGGCTGTTAGAGCCAGGGGCTGTGGAGGGAGACGGGGGTGGAGGGGGGAGGGTAGAGAGCTAAACCCAGGCCTTCGAGCACCGTGTCGGCCCCACATGTCACCCTCTGTGTGGGACGCCGCCAGCCGGAAGGCGAGGAGCAAGACTGTGGACTCACTGCGCAGTTCAATTCTGTGACCGCCGGACTCAGCTGTTAGGGACGCGCGTGCCGGTGGCATGTGGTCCAGTGCTAACGGCGGTGAGCGCTGCTCCCGCCCCAGAGGCCCGGAGACGAAATAAGCAGGGACTCGAGTCTGCGCGGGAGCCGGGTTTTCTAGCCGGCGTGGGTCCCATGAGAGTCCGGGTCTGTTTGCTAATGACGTCACCCTGGTTTGCTTGTTTTTAAAATAGCAAATCCAAAATCAGTCAATGGAATCGGGTTTCATAGCCATGAAGGAGAAGTCTCGTCTCTGGTTCTTCTTTCGCATTGAAATGTTCATTGAAATAACTATAGATGCGAGAACATGCAGTCGTAAGAAATCCCAGTCGCCCCCACGGTGACCTCTGCAGAGTCGCAGCCAGGAGGCGGACATGGGGCCCGTTCCCCCTGCCCCGACCGACTTAGACTCGTTTGTGTGGGGGGGGTGTTGGTTCATGCGTCCGCCACCACTGCCAACACACAGAGCCTTGCCGTCACCACAGAGACCCTCACTGTCACCTTTTCGAAGCCGTAGCCACCTCCCTCCCACCGCCTCCTGTCCCCAACCCCAGCAACCACTGTTCTCCATTTCTAAAGTTCTGTCGTTTCAAAATGTGACGTAAATGGAGTCACAGGGTCTGCTACCTTTCAGAATTAGCTTTTTTTCACTCAGCATAACTCCCTAGAGACTCGTCCAGGTCGTTGTGTGTACCAGTGGTTCATTCCTGCGGTTGCAGAGTAGGAAGTGATCCATGGGACCCCGATTTGCTCCGCCTCTCGTCCAAAACGACCCCGGATTGTCTCCTGGGACGAGCGTTTGGGTACCGGTATTTCCGTGAACGTAAATGTCCATTTCTCAGGGATAAACGCCCGTGAGTGTGAGTGCGGGGCCGCGAGTGTGAGTGCTGGGCCGTGAGTGTGAGTGCTGGGCCCGTGAGTGGGAGTGGGGGGGCTGGGCCCGTGAGTGTGAGTGCTGGGCCTGTGGGTGTGAGTGCTGGGCCCGTGAGTGTGAGTGCGGGGCCCGTGTGAGTGCTGGGCCCGTGAGTGTGAGTGCGGGGCCCGTGTGAGTGCGGGGCCCGTGGGTGTGAGTGCAGGGCCGCGTGGTCGGTATTCGCACGTTTGGTGTCACGGGAAGCTGCCGGGCGGCTCTCCGGAGGCTGCCCCGTCTTCCGTCCCCACCAGCCCCGCGCCGGGGTCCAGTCTGTCCGCATCCTCGCCCGCACTCGGCGTTGCTGCTGATTTCATTTCAGCCTCTGTGCGGGACGCGTGGTGCTGCTCACGCCTTCGCTTACGGCCCGGGCCGTCGAACGCCTTGTCACGTGTGTCCTTTTTGGCGAAATGTCTCTTCATGCTTTTTGCCCATGTTCTAACTGGATCCTTTGTTGTTTTATTGCTGAGTTCTTTACGTATTCTAGATACTAGTCCTTTGTAGGATACCTGGTTTTAATTCAGAGCAGATACACCCTTCGTGAATCGAAACCGAAAGACCAGGAAGATGTAAATACTTTCACGCCCTTTTCTTTTAAAATCTCAGATGATGGCAGTATTGTGTTTCTGAAGGCCTTGTACATTTCAACA